AGAAATACATTACAAGATTCAGCGCCCACAATTAAATTGACTATAATAAGAAAAACATTTTAAAAATTACTAATAAAAAAAAAACATCACCTCCTTTACAAAGTATAGAGTGAATGTTTTCGCTCTTAACTAAAGAATGTTAGATTTTTTAAAAATGGAACATTTTTACCTCACCCCATTTCCCCCTCCCTCGAGAAAGAATCCTGGTTAAGCAAATGATTTATTAGACTTTATAATATTCCAATGATAGTCCTTTAGATCTTGACTTAGAAGACGATGCGTAAAATGTTCATTAATTTATTAGACTTTTCAATGAATATAGTCCGTCCTAGATGAATATTTCCTATTTCTCTGGTCTAATATAAATTTAATTCTTTTTATACTTTGAAAATTATTATTATCAAACTAGAATTTTCCCAGTGTGACCAACGAGTAGTAATTCTTTTCCCAACGATTGTACAAACAACAGTCATATTTCTAGAGCCTTTTTAAAGTTTTTCTGGATCCGTGTCCAGGTTTTTCCCACCCAGGTTCTACCCCCCCCCCCCCCTCGAAGTTGCCAAGAAGGTACCAGCTGAATATAGGTATTGTTACAAATGAACAGTGACAAGTAGAGGTCAACGTGTGACCCCAGCGAGATGACACTGCAGCCAGTGTTCTCTGCAATCTACGCGTATAAACAAGGACAGGATGTGACGTGTCCTCACGTGCTGTTCCAGGGGATAAATAGATCTAAGAAGGGGGCAGTTACTAATAGATAGAGATCAGTACGTGTGACCCCGGCTTGATGACACTGCAGCAGGTGTTCTCTGGAATCTACATGTAAAAACAAAGACAGGATGTGACGTTTCCTCACGTGTTATTCCAGAGGATGCTAGCCGTGTTTGTGCAACTTTGGACAAGCGATTAGGGACTCTATATAAGCCAGAGAGTTAATGTGAAAGTCTTTCGTGAGTGAGTCGTCGGTACTGTTGTCTACTGTGCGAGACAGTAGAGGAGAGATGTGTACGACTCGATGCAAGCTAACTAGGGTAGAGTTAACTGGAGTGGACTACTGTCGTTAAAGTCTATACAGCGAACTACATTGGACTTGAGCCGTTACAGTCGATGTAAGACGTGTGCGGCTCTGATTCGGTAGACTTGAATACGACTTGGTTCAGCTTTGGGAGACCTGGAGCGACACTGGAAAGTGTGTCGTTGGTCTGTTCTGTGGAATACGGCTCGATGCAAGTTGAGAAGAGATGAATAGCAACGAAGTGAAGAGATGAATAGCAACGAAGTATAGCTAACTGTAAACTGACAGATATTGTACAGTCTTCTACGCTACATGTTACAGTAACAAATTGTTAGAGTTAATAAAGTTATATGAAGCTGAAAGTTTAGTCGTCAAGTTCTTTACAGTGTTTTTATTTGTGTGCCTACTAGTACATTTAGCCAGAAGATTCTGAAATACATAACAGTAATGTAAAAACGGTCAATACATATACAAAAGACTCTTAAAAGTTGATTATAATAAGTAAAGACTCCTGCAGAGGTATAGGGGCATCTCTACTTTTTGTTTATTTATTTTTTTATTCTAACTTTCAGCAAAGCTTGAGCCTACTAGACTAGACCTACAAAAATACGTTAAGCTCGAAGTTGGCTTTCTGTTTCGCTGAAGGAGTAGGCCTATTTTAAATACAATGAAAGCGAGTTTGATGAAGAAGACTCATTTCACATGAGAGAAATCCAAAAGTCCAAAACTACAGATCTTATCTAATAAATTATAATGTTCCTTCAAAAGAGTTATCACGTCCTACTCGTATCCATGTGTTCAGTCGTATATGCCTATGCTAAATAAATAGTTGGAGACCTCATCGTGTACTCTGCTAAGTTATTGGATAGATCCATGGATAGAGATTAGAGTTTTATTCTATGTACGGCTACTGGTCCAATGCGGCTTCGACTCGACTCTTTATGGACACTCAAACAAGAAGAGATATGTCATCTAGCGCTCAGATTGGGCAGGATTTTTATACTTACGAAAATCTCATTTTGGCGACATAATTAATAAAATTTTCGTCGCAATTTTCACGACTGACCGCCATTTTTTTGTTTCTGACATGAAATGCTGATTTGGTGCTAAATGGTTAGGAAGGCGCGCTAGAGTTTTTTTAATACACTTGCTGTGAAAGCAAACAGTCTACACTTAGATATACATAGTATTATAGTCATGGATAGTTCCATTCATAGATCAACTAGCTCTATAACATGCCGTTTATTTTCGAACGTGCCTTTTGTGGCTTTAAATGAAACCATGATTATGTTACATAGATATCGATTCTTATATCTAGTATCAACTTTTTATTGTCTCTCTTCTTCTCTTTTCTTAAAAAAAAAAAATTTAAAAAAATCTTACACATAAGGTCTACATATTACGTCCTTCTAATGTTGCCTGCGCGCTAAAAAATCCTGCTCACTGTCCATGTGACACCCCATCCCGGGCCTTCCTCCATTTTTAAGATTGATTCGTTCTCTGTCATTGAATATAGATTTCAGGTAAGCTGCCGTAGGCCCTACATCTAAATTGTGCTAGATCAAGAATCAATATTGCGATCAACGCTTGTAGTTTTTTTTTTTATTATTATGCAGCTTCGGCATACCAAATCAATTAGATCCACCACCCAAATTCAAACAAGACCGTCCACATTTTATATGGCGTCGTGTCTTCTTAGAAGATCTAAAATCTTTGACACCAGCTGGGAAGATGCTGTGGAAGTCGCCTATGATCGATCTCTTTGGGGAGCTTGTCGCACTATGCGCCGAACGGCGCTGGAGGATTAAGTCGAAGTAGGCAGGGCCGGTCTTAGGCCACTGCCACATATGCAGCCGCAGTGGGCCCCGCGCGATGTGAATTGTAAGTGTTAATTATTAAATTAAACCATTTAAAATTATTTTTAAAGGGTTCCTGGAATTCTCCTGAAATTATAAAATATAAGAAAAAGTCATGAAAATCTCCTGAGATTATTAAAATCTTATGAAAACTGATGCAAATCTTAAAACAGACAAAATTGTCATTTCGATGTGTCATCCAATATGGAAAGCGCCAATCCTACTCGCGATTAAAAAAAAGCATTTTCAGCTTTCATTTAATAAAAATGTAATAATAAGCCGAATTTTAACCAAATCAAGAACTTCAATACTTATATACTTAGATAGCCAATAGCATACAGATATAGATCTAAATCTATGTCGACCTCTTATATAAAAAAAGCGATATTTTGCGAATCGATAGTAAATCTAAAAGGCAGATTTGATGTTTACCAGTTCTTTGTTGGAAAACTACTATCTACTGTAGATGGCTAGTAAAGTTAATTTAACAGTGATTTTGTACTTAGTAAAGTATGAATAAAATGCAAAGACGAATTTATGTTCTATTACAAAAACTTAATTTTCACTTATTATCTTTATCAAAACCCAAATTAGGCCCCGCGAAATCCGTTTCGCATAGGGCCCCGCAACCTGTAGGACCGGCCCTGGAAGTAGGTAAGAAAGTATGCTTATAGTTATCAGTGGCGTCACTAGGGTTGGTGTCAACCGGTGCGGTTATCTCAGGGCGTCTAACTTTTCCCAATAGAAATTCATTTTGTTGAATCAATCCAATAAGCTGATTACCTATTTTCATCAATTTTGCACAAAAGTAAAATTAAATTTTTATGACATTTGTTTCAATAGTTTTGCATATTTTACAATGTATATTCATTAAAATCACTTAGACATGTTTCATTTGGTAGACTTTATTCAAACTTTTACTACCATCTAAAGGGGAAAATGATTGTGGCTTTGACAGTGGCGTAGCTAAGGTATTTGATGCTCGAAGGGGCAGCACATCTTGATGCCCTCCAAACCCCCCCCCCCCCAAACAAACAAAAAACATTGGAAAGACGTTATTTTCCCATAAAATAATGTGTATTTATTGTTTAGAAAGTATTGCTAATTAGTAAAAATAATATATATATATATAATATATATATATAAGATACTACAATGATTTTTCTATTTTTTGCTGGCAAGTTTGATGCCCGTACCACTCACACATTGCTAGCTACGCCTCTGCTTTGAAATTACTCATCAAGTGATATTCTAAATCAGGTTCTTAATTCAAGAGGGACATTAATTGACCTTGTAGAGAAATGCGTGACAGCGCTTGTCCCGCTCTTACATGTTATGAACAGTGAGACAGACGGTCAAAGGCGAGACGTCAGGTCACATTAGTTGCTTATAAGACATTTTTTTTCAGGACAGAGTGTGCGGTTTTAAGTGTGTGTGGTGTTTGAACGTGCATGAATTGTGTGTTGTGACTCTACCTTGAAGTCTACCAATGACTTATTTCCAAAAATAGGCCCACCTCATAAAATGTTTGATATTGTCTGAACTCAACCTTTGGCTCTGTCCTAATTTCTCGACATTAACTAATTGGGAGTGTGAAGGAGTTGCTGTTTTTTTTTTCTTTCTTATAGGCTATAGTACATGTTTTTTTTTTCTTTCTTTTTAATTTTAAGTTGTGTACTTCTTTGTGAATTAATGTAAGCTTTAATCTCATCCACTATAATTATGGATAACTCATAATTCATACCAGTAATTAATACACCGCTAACCCCAATTCAGGGGGAAATGTGCATAATGCATAAGCCAGAATTATTAATGAAACAATTCCCATGACTGGGTCATATATTAAAGGAGAAAATCAATACATTTTAAAAATTTCTTTAAAAAAAAATAATTCTGACTGCACGTTTAAAATGTTAAAGTGTTTTTCAAACCATTTTTGAGTTTTAGCTCATAAACTTACAAAAGAAAAAGTTATGAACATTCAAAAGTACACCATTGGAAGAAAACAGGAGACTTGATATTTTAAATGATTATTTACTGCATTTAGGAACAATCAAAAAATGTCCAATGAAAAAAAACATTTGAACTTGTAATATTCAATGATAAATACAATCAAAAGAAGAAAAAAATGATTTTAAATGTACACATTACACCACCATTGTTAATTATTGATTTATGAAAAGAAGAATAAAACATGATCTCATTAAAGTAAAGAAATATCCAATCCATTACCTTTACAATACATGCACACATACTCATATGTATTATTAGCATCACATTTAAACTGAAGAAATTAATGAATTTCCATTTGTTTTAATTATTGGTAAATTTCAATTTATTTACTGCACTTAACATCTTGAGAAAGAAACACAGTCTAATCAATTGAAAAGCCTTTTTCATGGTATCAATATCACTTGATACTTGAACAAGAAATAATAAAACCTATTAAATCAAAGTTTTATCCAACATTTGACCTTTCCATGGCTCTTATCAAATATCTGCTGTATTGATATTTAAAGATGTTACACACACAAAAAATTCGAATTCTCTCTCTATTACAATATTAGACCTACATTTATATACAGCAGTAGCCACAACATAAATATGCCTTTATGTTCTGTTATTATCATTGTTTAAAATAAATTTTTAAAACCATTTTGTTTAATTGATTTAGAGCAATACAGTTGCCAACATTTTATTCAATGACATAAAAAATAACAAGAATAGGACAACAAAATGATTTTAAAAAGCAAACCACTTTGACAGCACAAAGTGTGAATAGTCTTCCATGTGATGACTATTTTAAATGCATCACCAATAGATCCAGCCTTTAATATACAATCTAAGAATTCCACAATTGAAAGTTTACTAGTTTTTGAAGCTATGCTCTTTAAATAAAATTTATTTTCAATTATTTATATAATACTTGAATAGAATCCTTCTAAAACAACATTGGTTTCACAGCTTCCATGATTACCATATTAAAAATGGCTTACATTTTTTCCCTTAATGTGTGAATATGAGCTGCGCAAGTTTCAGGCAAAATGACAAAATAGAAATTTAAAAAAGAATTTTGTTGTTGCTTTTTTTTTTTTTAAACATTAGATGCCAAAAAGATTTATCCAGACCCAATAAGTTATATAAAATTGTCCTAACTTAATTTAGATGAAACTATTGTGTAGCCTTTGCTTTTTTCCTCCCTCTGGCTGCCTTTTTGTCTTTCTTTTTCAACCCATCAATGTTGGCCTTCAAAAGATTCCCATATGCCTGAAACATAGTGAATGCATTAAATATCGATAACTGGGTCATAAGTTTAAAAATTATAAGTTGATGAACTGTCCAATTTCTTTTTAGTAAAATATCTACAAGTGATCTGAACAATAAACTGATTTAAGATGATGTTTTTTGAGGGTTTTCTAAGGGCATTTGTATTTCTAAATAAAACTGTTGCATCATTAAGCAAATGGAAACTGATATTTGGAGGCTGATTCAAGTTAGCCCATGACTATTAAATATACAATGGACTAATGGATAACAGCTAATAATATTAATAAGGAATGAGCAATAGCTAATGAACTAACCAGAGGCAGGACAGAATTCTACATAGATATATTAACTCCTAAGGGGGAGGGGGGCATGGTGGCTGAGTGGTTTAATGCTTGGCTTCTGAACAAGTGGTCCTGAGTCGAACCTTAGTGAAGACTGGGATTTTAATTTTTTAGGGTGCCCAAGAGTCCACCCAACTATAATGGGTAAAGGCGGTTGTCGTTGTGCTTGCCAGATGACACCCTGTTCGTTAACCATTGGTCACAGAAACAGATGACCTTAACATCATATGTCCTATAGATCATGAGGGGAGCTTAACTAACAACTGGGCTACATTGATAATTAACAGGCTATTACCACCTAAATTGTAACACTAACTTTAACCAATCACAGAAACTGATGAATTCTACTTCAATAAATTTTGATTTTCTTTTAAAAAAATGTTTAAAAAAAAAACCTTTAAAAGCAAAACACAACCAACCATTTGAAACTTGGTCACATCTTTATGATTTATCTGTAAAAGCAGGCAGAAAGAAAATTATGTTTTAATAACATGTTTATTCTCAATTTTGAAACAGCTACAATATTATTAGCAATAAAAATATCTTACCACTGTGGTTATTTTTTTGTTACCGAGTGTAGCCCTGACAAGACATTTGTATTCATTAGGCTCAGGGACATTGCCATTTCTAGGTTTCGGCTTTAATCTTCCATCATCTGCATATTGAGAGATGAAAATTACTGCTTTAAAAGAGTTGCTTTGTGAGGTCTCTTGTATACAGTCAAACCTCATTACCTGAACATCAAATGCAGTTATATTAAAACTTCAGTTATTTTTTAAAGTTTTTCATTGCAGCTTTTTTTTCACTTATGTCAAACAGAATATTCGTTACAATTTTATGTGATTCTGTGAAAATAGATATTAAGAGGTTTGACTGTGCAATCAATTGTGAATGTAGTAAAACACTTACATCTTTTTATGGTCATGCAGACAGAGCCTGATGTTTTTCCTTTTTGGAACAGTTTAGTGAGTTCTGTTAAAAACTGTGAACAAGAAAAACATGACACCACTTTAAATTATCTTAGTAACTCTTAATTACTTGGTTATTAGAACAATCAAAACAAGTTAATTTTAGAAGGCAGTGTTCAGAAAAATAATGATTGTGCTTGCCAGCTATTAGCAGGCATTATATTCTTTGTTATTGCTACTTGCAAAACAAAATAAGCTCAAAATTTTCATTGAGAAACTTGTGCTTCATTCAGCAATAGAAATATAAGAAGAGAGTGACTAGAACTAAAAGTCTTAGTGTGACTGCTCAGTAAATCATCAAGTCAGTGAAGTAGATGACTATAGAAAAATATATCTTGATCTAGACAGTATAGACTTAGTTAATTCTTGTAGTTCTAGATAAACTAGATCTAGATCTACCTCTAGTCTAGCTAGATATTGCTCATACTATAGATCAGTATTCACTTTCACTGATGTCTGTTAAATGCAAGAATTCTGACTTAGATCTAGGTAACTAATATAATCTAGATCTAGATGCTAAGACCTCTAAGTAAATAGTTAAATTAATAAAATGATTTTTAAAATGTCTTTAAAAATATGCCTGTGCCCCGAGTGTGAGCCTATGACGAGTGTGGAGTCTCTATATATATATTAGTCTATGATTATGAAACTATGGCTATGGTTCAGACCCTGGCCACTGCCATCCCCCATTGTCCTGTGGCAGGTAGGGACAAGGAAGTAAATTATCTTCAACTCTGAAGGATCATCCGAAACATGTAAAACAAACATTTACCATGTCACACTATTGTAACACAGTATAGTATGTCTGTTTATGGCACTCTTTCTACTTCTATGACGACTTAGATAGAATGATAAAATATGCATCCTATGTTTGGGACCCTTCAACTCAAGAAAACATTAAGAAACTGAAACAGACACAAAATAGAGCAGTGAGATTCATAACAAGTGTAAATGAATATTCACATTTGACTAGAGTTACAACTTTAGTAGAATCACTAAATTTGGAAAGCCTTTATGATAGAAGACTCAGAAGTAAAGTAACACTGAACCTTAATCTTCAAATACAAAAACAAAATCTAATAAAATACTAAGAAAGACACAAAGATAAAGGCACATTCCTCATTCCATATGCTAGGAAAAATTTGTACAAATGCTCCTTCTTCCCTAGTGTTATTAGAGCATGGAATGGGCTGCCTGAGCTAGCCAGGAAAACCAGTGACTTAGCAGAATTTAAGTCATTTATTAACATGCATGACAAGATGATGCGTAGGACATAATCATCTTCTTTTTGAAGTAACGTCTGTATTATATAAGATTAGAATCAGCAGTTGCATTTTTCATTACCAACAACTTATGCTACATAATATATATATATATGTTAGTAATATTACACATAAAAACGTTTTTCATAAAAGAGGCGTTTTAACCATGCAACTGGATGGTATTATGTAATTGTTTCCAAATTTATGAAATTAGCCAGCATTAAATTGTTAAAATTGGTAAACATGCATGACTTGACTGTCACTAGATGCATAATGCGTAGGTGCCCCTAGGACGTAATCATCACCTTTTTTTGAAGTAACTTAACTTAGACTGTATTTTTATAAAAGTAAGATCTTGATTATTCCAGATAAGATTCTAGATCTTATTAATTAAATTAATATGAATGATTACTAGATCTAGTATCTAGACTCCCCGAGATCATAATTGTCATAACTTACATAACTTGACATTTAATAAGTATACTCTATTATACTCTTTATCTATAGACTTTATAGTAAATTATAGTATTACTAGATCTAAGTCATCTAAGTAATTTAATACTCGTTATTGAGTTAAATACTACAATTCATGATCATGATGATCTAGTCTAGTCTAGATTTACTAGATCTAGAGTCTAGTTAGTAGTTAAATTTAAATCTAGTATTACTAACTAACTTAACTAACCAAGTCCAAGTATTTTACCTCTAGATTCTAGATCTAATTACTAAAATTAGTAATTCTAGTCATAATCTTAGATTTTAGATCTAATCTAGATCGTGGATCTATCAATACTATAGTAGATTCTTATATTAGGCACACCGTATTCAGGAATTAGGTCAAATTTTTTATTTATTTTTTTATTTGGTGACGGTTTAATTACAAAAAAACTGAAAGCAGATTCTTATTCTACAACTAAAGGACTATAAAAATAGCTTTGTTTCTTTGAATTACTACTCTTAATCAAGATTTTATTTTAAAATAAATCAGGTCACTTCATGCTTCTATAATAAACGCAGTTTTTGTGCTTTCTCCTTTAGCGCACATTGAGCTCCGTTAATAAACACCACTATGTTATTGCTAATAAATTATATCTGTGTTAATTAAAAATTATTTAGATTGTATTAAAAGAAGTAGATCTAGATTCACTTCTGCAATATGTATTCATAGTATATTGCCTCTCTCTCTCTCTGTATATATATATATATATATATATATAGGCCTATGTATATATCGTTTATAATTTATTTATTTATATATGCCTACCTATATAATCTGTGTAGAAACAGACAGAAATAAATCTCTATAATTATAGATCTAAAAATTAATTATCATAATTTAATAAACATTATATTTTCAACTAGGCTACATGTATTCTCTCTTTCTTTTTATTTCCCATTCAAGGACCCTCTTCTTTTCATAATTTGGATGTTCGTTTTGTTACACCTTAACATCCCCTCCCTCCCATAGATGCTTATAATTCTTTTCATGACTCTCTCCCTCTTCCCTCCACTGCCTGTTTGATAGGTTGTGACACTACACGCTTAGTGTATACCTCTCCTCACCACCAGCGCTCGCCTGGCGTGATCACCTGCAGTGGGCATGGTCTTTGGCTTCAAATTAGCAGCCCACACTTTTTCTTTCATTCATAAATTATATATTATATATATATCAATCTAG